TATATACACACATACAGACATGATTACGGCTGGCGGAGCGCACTAATTTTTTTAAAACTCGAGCGAACAGTTCTCGCAGCGCCGCGTTTCATTTGAGTTGAATATGAAACACTTTTAAGAGATTTTGTCTAAAACAGGTACGCCTATACAGACACCTTTATGATCCATCCTTGCGTGATCATAGGGAGAGCCAGATGACCAATAATTCTTGGTTATAAATTGCAACAGTGGGAAAGGAGGAAAGTTTTTGTAAAAGTTTGGAAAAACCTGAGGGATAAGTTTGTTAAAACCAAAAACGAGATCATGCAAAAGTGGAATAGCTTAATAGCTACAAAATTAAAAAAATTTTGCAAAATTTAAAAATTAAGTAACAAATTATGTCTTTGATAACTGGAAAGGAATATTTGAACCTATCAGTTTACAATATACTGATGCCCTGTTTTCTAGGTTGATTGGTGATAATGTTCAGGAATGTTGTAGCTTTCAAGTATAGGACAGAAACTAGCCAGACAGTAATGTGTGATTTGTGGAGTTGGCTAAATAAAATACAGGGTCAGTATTTTTCGTAAGTAATTTTTAATGTTTTTTTGCTTTTGTTCCTGTTAAATAAAAAAACTAAATTGTAGAGCAACCCATGTTGTCATTACATTTACCTTTATTAGGTTGAACTGTCTGAGATATGAACAAAAGCAAGTGATGCATCAAAAATGTATTTCTTTGTGTCTAAACAGGCTTGAAACATTGTTTGTGATTTAGTTTTATTCATTCATGTAGTTCAGTCACATGCTAATTCCTTTGTTGCAAAACTAAAAGAACCATTGTTATATTTATAGCTCTTTTGATAAAAACGATTGTGCAAAAAAGGTACCATATTTAATTTCTTACACTGAAAGAGTAACAGGATACTTTTAGGACCGAAAGCATATGGATATTTAAAACTTAAATGTTTTTTTTATTATTTCTCAGCAATAAAGCAGGTCCATATTACAGCTAATGAACAACTCTAATGCAGCTAAATATGATTTCTATTCATAGAGGGAAAGAAAGAGTATCAAAATACAGTGATTTGAGCGTCAGTACTAATGAAAGGGTACAAAATATCACATAATAATCATCATTTGGCATTTACAAAACATTAGATGTCTTATCCAGAAACAACAGCCCTTTTTTTTAATCTCCCTTTAGGCAGAATCTGATTTTGGAGGGTGAACGCTATCCCATAATCCTCAACACTCACTTCAGTCAGAAAGTCTGCATGGAGATCAAAGCAGAAAGCGCAGAAGGCCCAAAATCTGCAGTGGCCGTGGAAAAATGCAGACCTCCACCATTAACCAGGTGCCTTTGGCGGTCAGAGACGAGCCAAGTGTCAACCGAGAGATCTGTTCCCTGTAAACAGGTTGGTCAGCTGTTCGTCTCATGTGATCATGGGAAGCAAACGCAAATTCCCAGAAGAGGGACCACCGCCTATGTTAGATTTCAGCCTGTGGTTTTAGAGATGTGCCGCTGGAATGGAGACAGCTGCCGTTTCCGGTGACTCGTCTCGTGATTAATGAGGGATGTTGTTTTCATGCATAAATATTTGGTTTAGTGTCAAAGGCTAAGGCGAATTTTCTTGTCGGGCGAGTGCTCAGCAGATTCTTTTTTAAGAAGATATTTGAAGAATGATGCAGTTCATTTAGTCTCTGTCATTCAGTCAATCTGTGTTGACAAATTTTGTTGTTAGATTTAGCAACTTTTCGTTCTAGCCTAGCAACATATTTTTCAAAAAGCACCCAGCAACAAATTTAGCATTTTTTTTAGGTTAGGTTACTTTATTTATACCCAAAAGTAGATTTGGTTTGCAGTTAAGAGTCCTTATTTCATAACTGTGCCACACACACAAAAGAACTTGCATAGTGAAAAGAACCTTTGAACATAAAGACATTAAATATATAAAATTAATTCTTGCAGATTAAAGGTTTTTCCAGCTGTTCGGTGTTCAACTAGATGCGCCTTTTATAGTAAATTGTTCTAAAAGATCTGTTGAGTTTGATGAAGACGTCATTTTAAGAGCAATTTGAGATGACATGGCAACACTGATCCTTGTTATGAGTTTCTGGTCCATTCTGTGGGGATATTTAATATGGAAATAATGCAATAAAACATAAATGTGATGAGAACTATTACTAATGTTGTGCTTTTATAAAAAGCACTTTTCCATTCTTTCATTCTAAGGTGGTTGAGTTGGCCAGTACAGGAGTTCGGAAGTCTCTGCTGGATGCAGTGGAGGATTGCGGGCCGTCTGGGTCTCAGAGCGGGCCTGTTGAGGTGGTTGTTCAGAGGGTTTACTGTATCCCCATCACACAGTCTCTTCACAGAGCTTCACTCCAGCACAGAGCACTGGCCAAACCTCCACCAGAATCAGCACAAGACATCGGCAGGTACTGAACATCTGTGTTGTTGTTTTTTACACTGGTTTAGATGGAGAAAAAAATCATAATAATTTGTAAACAAAATGCAAAAGACAGATGAGCTTTTGTGACTGCTGGAAATGGCTGAAGAGTGAAAAGTATACAGGTTTGCAAACCCCACCTAAAGTTTCAAATAATGGCACTGATGACGTGGTGAATTGTGATCCGCCAGCCGACATCAATCAAGTGTATTTGGAGAAGGTTCCCGAATCTTGAACAGCGTTGTTCAGCGCAAATGTCTGCTAAATGTGAAATCTACCATACCATAACTGAATCTGCGGCTCATAACATAGAGCGGTATTGCGCAGATGGTCATCGCAAGAATCCTGCTTTGGCTGCTCTTATATTGGTCCGGCTGACTCGCCTGCTTTTTTCCACAAACACAGAAAAATTAAAAACAGCTCATAACGAGACTGAGCATTTAGGGCGTACTCACACTATGTACAGTTGCCTTGAACCGGGCCAAAGCACACTTGTCCCCCCTCCTGTCTCCCCAGACGGCCCACACTCACATTACATTCAGGCCTGGGCGCTTGCGTCATCGATGATGCGCTGTTCAGTAAGAAGCACTCTCACTCAGCACAGTGGAGATTTCTTTAGTTATATAGTTTAAGTCATTTGATATGCAGTGACACGCAGTTAAATATTTCGCCGAACAGATCAGCCACTTTTGATGCTCAGAAACAGTCATAAAGTCCTCGTGCCGCAGGAATTAGGAAGTTTGCTGAAGGTGCAGCTGTCATGCAGTGAGGGGTTTGTGTCTTTAATAACCTACGACAGTTTGTGTTCATTGAACAGTAAGAATGATTAAGAGATTCATATGAAACAGTCCCTTAAAAGTCTTGTCTCGCTTTCAGTTTCGGGCTCAGGTGCGTTTTGAACTCACACACCAGCGTACCGCCCCAAAACCAAAGTGATCCGGCACACCTCTTCCAACCGGGCCAGGGCCGACCAAAGGAACTGTGCCTGAGCCCGATTCAGAGCACTCACACTTCTCAAACTATCCGGGAAACGGGCCTTGGCACGGTTTACATAGCATAGTATGAGTAGGCCCTTAAAATGACACAAACCAAAACATTTAAAGAGGGATAGAAGTGAGACTTTTCTTCCTTTCTTTTGTCCATTCTTTCTTGACATGCATGTTATTTTTCTACTTAATTTCTCACTAAAAAAAACTGTTTTGCAGCTTTCAGCCTTGATTTGAATGACTTATTATAATCTTTTGATTGTTTTGTTTGATGCAAACCATAAATTAATTTTTTCATAAAGTAACAGGCTTTTTATAGCAGATAACTCATTAAAGGCATTTTTGTCATATTTTTGTCATCATTAATATTTAATAATTATTAGATATACATTTTGTAATTATTGCACACAAATATCAATAAGTCATCCCAGCGTTAGTTAGATCGTTGTTTCTGTTTTTTGTTAGACTTGATGTTGTTTTCAAATACAATAAATCCCTCAAAATACAATTTGCAATGATGCTCGTTCATTTTTTCGTGGGCGCTCCTAAATTTTTTCTGGTGCTCCTAAATATTTGAAGTAGGGCACCGGTGCTACCATGTAAAAAGTTGATTTCGAGCCCTGCAAGTGATGTGTCTTGTGTATTCTGTAGTCTTTGGTTTAGTGGCGCTGCATTATGAATGGTTCAAATAGTATATCGCGAGAGAAGTATCATTCGGTAAAAAAATCATGTTGTTTGTGATGATTTAGAAATCACACATGTCCAGATCGCGATTGCGACGCGATGTCTGTTAAACGCACTGCCCTGTAACAAAGAAGTGTTTCTGCTTCGTATTTCTGTGGAAACTGTAATACATAGGGATGTAACGGTATTGTAAATACCGTCATACCGCAATATTAATTTTTTCCGATATTACCGAAGTCGCATGACTCGGTAAAACTATAGTTGCGAACGGGAGGTAGCGAAAACTACAATTCCCATCAGCCCATGCTTGACCATCATTCCTTGCGGTCTGTTGTCGCTACAGATCCAGTAATGCGGAAATGGAGTGTGCTGCTAGAAGCGAGGATGAAAAAGAGCTTGAAAACTCTAAAGCGGGTGTTGTCGCGGCGCGCGTACTGAATAGCGGTGTTGTCGCGCGAGTTCTTATCAGCTGTGTTGTCGCGCGAGTTCTTATCAGCTGTGTTGCCGCGCGCGTACTGAATAGCGGTGTTGTCAGCACACTGTTCAGATTGATGCAGACATGAGACCTCTATCTTACTCATGGTTTGTCCTCTCAAGTGGGGGAAAGACAATGCACAACGTTACCCACTGCTGTCAACCTGGGCCAAGTCATATCTCTCTTGTCCCAGAAACCTCAGTCTCAAATGAGAGGTTTTTTTCTGTTGCAGGGGACATTGTAAATACCCAGAGATACCAGCTTTTACCAGATTATATTTATGTGATAATTTTCCTTTAAACCCATCTCTATCTAAGTGAGTGAGTGATTAAATGTTGAATGTGATGAGTTTTCAACAATACTAAATTGAAACTTTATTTTTTTTACATGGTTTAATATTTTTTTGTTATTAAAATTGAAGTTCCTGTTTCAAAGCTTACAGATAGATGGCTAATTTGTATGTCATTGACACTTTTGGCACTTTTTTGGAGTATTTTCATAAGTTTTGTTTTTTCCTGTAAATGATTCAATAAATACCGTACCGTGACATTCATACCGAGGTATTACCTTACCGTGAAATTCTGATACCGTTACATCCCTACTAATACATATATTTTATTTCAGTGTTTCTTAAAAGAGCTGTGTTTATTTGAAATGTAATTTACTAGTTGTTCTGTAAACGTAAAATTCACTAACCCCAAACTTTTGAATAGTACAGAGATGAAGATTACAAATAATTATACAAATTAACATAATCCTTTTTTTCTTTCTATCCTTTTTTTTAATCTGCATGGCTTTTCAAAAATAAACTGAAGCAAACCTGGGTGCTTTGAATTGCTTACCAGCACAATGACTTAAGACCTATGTCAATACAAGAATGTGCATTTCATTAGTGTACTCCCCTTCTTCAGTAACCAGCCAAACCAGTTTAACAAACCAGTTACTCACTGCTCAAAACATTTGCTCTAATTTTGTGTTAAAAAAAAGCAGTTGAATTGATTGGAAATGTGCTCGGGGATATGATAAATAACCTTTATAAATATGACAGATAGATAATGGAGATAGACAATAATTTAGAATCTGCCTTGCCAGACTCATCTCTTTCACATGTGATGGTTTTTGTAGGCTTTATTAAAAGCGTAAAACACCATCATATTGTGTGTTTGCACTGGGTAAGCACGCACCTCATGTTCCAGTGCAGTATTATTAGGCCATTGTCTGTTCTATACTCCACCGCTGAAGCTTCAAGAGGTCAATCTCCTCATGGAGTGATAAATGGTGTGAGAGAGTAACTTTGCTCCATATTCTGTCAATGACTAACCAAACAACTCCTCCCAGTACACAGAGTGCTCTCTCTCTCTCTCTCTCTCTCTCTCTGTCTTTCTCTTTCTCTCTCTGTCATTCTGTGCCTCACACGGTTCTCCAGGCCATATGGTAAAACTCTACAAACATCTCTAATTAAGCCCAGTAATGTCAGTGATCCATGGCCACGCTTTTCTGGGAAAAACGGAAATAAATGACAGAAAGTGAGAGTGCGAATGTGCCCGGCATGAAAGCAGAATAGTGTTAGAAATATCATAACCAGATATAAAGATGCGTCTAGATATGAAGAAAACACTTGTTTCGCTGTGCGTAGCTCACTGTTGTGTTGCTATGCTGGTGCTGCTGTAGTCATAACAATCAAGTATGCACTCGTTTTCTCAATGGAAAACCGTTAAAGGGTCCCAAAACCCTGGACAAACCTTTCTGACATTTGAACTGATTTATGTGTGTTGAACATCAATTAAGGGCGTACTCACACTATGCCATCCGTACCGTGCCCAGGCCCGTTTCCCGGATCATTTGAGAAGTGTGAGTGTGCTGAATTAGGCTCAAGCACGGTTCACTTGGCCGGCCCTGGCCCGGTTGGAAGAGGTGGGCCTGAGCGCGGTTCACTTGGGCTTTGGCACGGTACGCTTGAGTGTGAGTGCAAAACACGCCAAAGCCCGAAACTGAAAGCGAGACGTGACTTTTAAGGGACTGTTTCATATGGATTTATTAATCATTCTTACTGTTCAGTGAACGCAAACTGCTGTAGTTTATTAAAGACGCAAACCCCTCACTGCATGACAGCTGCGCGCCTTCAGCAGACCTCCTTATTCCTGCAGAACGAGAGCTTTATGATTGTTTATGAGCGCCAAAAGTGGCGGATCTGTTTGGCGAAATATCTGACTGTGTGTCCCCGCATCCCTAAGGACTGTTTGGCGAAATATTTGACGTCATATCAAACGACTGAAACGATATAACTAGAGAAATCTTCACTGTCCTGCTGAGTGAGAGAGCGCTTCTCACTGAACAGCGCAGCAGCGATGACGTAAGCTTGCCGAAGCCCGTTTGTGGTGTGAGCGTGGCCCGTCGGGGGAGACGGGAGGGGGGACAAGCGTGCTTTGTCCCGGTTCAAGGCAACTGTACCTAGTGTGAGTACGGCCTAAGACATTACTGTGAGTTCACACCAAGCGGCAACCTCCCGATCTCCCTCAGGAAGCCAATACGGAAGCAAATAAAACTGCCATTCATCTGAAATTCCGCTAGTCGTGGCCGCTCCTGGCTCCAAAATAGAGCAAATTTCTATTGAGCCCACTGTTAGAATGGCCAACTTTACAGCAGAAAAAAGGTGTTTACAGCCTGGTACAAAAAAAGATTTTGGTTAATACAGCTAATATTACCCTTCATGACAACTGTGAGGGGGGTGAATGTTTTTATAACTCATCCGTTTCCTTTATATTAAGTTATATTAAGTTTGCATAATTAAGGGCGTGGCCACTTGAGTGACAGCTAGGTCTCGTTGTGCGCCGTTACGTCACC